AGTTCCCCCCCCCCAAACTTTGTCTTCAAAATAAGGGTGGGTCTTATATTCCGAAAAATATGGTAGGTGAAAATCCAAAAGTTGTGCCTACAGGTGATGATCTTCTTATGGGGAAGTAGAACAATTTATTTAATGATGTTACCAATAGCCTTATAGCTGTTTAATTCTCAACCGATTCATCATTCTTTTGTTTTTCCTAGCTACACAATAAGGTACTTTGCCTACCAGCAGTCTCATTTCCTCCAAATGTTAATGAAGACTAGAGCTGGGCAATTTAACTGATTACCTATGAGCAGCAATTACATCGATCAGTGTCCTATGGACTAATCAAAATTAATATTAAATTGAGCATTGTGAAAATAACTAAAAAAAGCACACTTAGGGTTTCTGATTATTACCATTTTTAATTACTCCAACTACTGCCATCAAACTTGCTCACCCTTTCTTCTTATAGCAAAGCTACTGTCACTAATTTTAACTGTTGACTAGAAAGAAGGGAAATGGCTGACAGCACCAACCATCACCTTCTTGTTTTTTTATTGTTGTTTAACTGCTAATTAGAGGGAAGATAACTCATTACAGCAGCTGCTGCCAACTTTTTGTTGCTGTTTTTGGTGAACTGCTGACTAGATGGAAAGCAAGCAGCTGAGCACCCATTTCCAACTTTTTTTGTACATCCCATGGTATGAGGAACATTGTACTAATCCATTAACAAGTACCACTAACTGTCCAGCTCTAGTGAAGACCTTCTATGACAGCTGCTTTTGCATTTCTAGAGCAAAGATGATTGATTTTCTGACAGTAAAGTTGTGCAAGATTTTATGAAGGGGCTTCTACTGAGAGCTTATCATCTTCCCCATTTAGCTTTACCCTGCATAACATAACCTGGTATGTATATCCAGGTGATGGTCTTACATTGCAGTTGCTTTACTTTTTGTCATCCACCTGAAGACTAACCACACTACCTGTTAGTCAGTTGAAAATATAATGCTGGTGGCACTGTTAATTTGAGTTCATTACTTTCAAATATCCAGAGGAAAGCTTATTTTATGGCTTCCAGCTCCATCCTTGTGCTTTTACGAAAGCTTGAATGCTTCAGCAGTCTTATTCGGAATGATATTGCTCTGCAAGACAATGAATTCCCAACCAGGTCTGTCAATATCTGTTTTTTTAGGAACCATCTGTGGCTATTATGACAACCAATCACTTATTTTAAAAATAATGACTATAAACATGGTTTATTTTAACTAATAATTAACAGACACAGTTTCTTGTAATTACTAATATCCAGATACTACTACTTGTAATCACACATTGTTTCTTTTCACAAATAACATCTAGACACTGCTTCACATTATTACAAATAATTTAAGTGTTTTGTTAACAGTTTTTACCGAGACAGCTTTATGCCACATATTTTAGACAGAAATAAAACAAGATACCATCCAGAAGTCCACAGAGTGCTCGTGTTTTGTCTGAATGTTTTAACTACCAGATTGCCAAGGTATATCAAATCCATTATGCATTCAGCTGAACACAGGGAATTTTAAATTTAG